CCCCCCCCCCCCCCACCGAATAAACTTTGAGATCAACTACTTTCTACTTTTTGCAATAGAGTGCAAACTATATATCCCTGAAATAGCACAAAACCTAAATAGTACTTAACACATCTATTTGTTTTGTTTTCAATTGTTTCATTGGTGCTATTTTATAGTAAGTAGTTAGTACATTTAGTTAGTTTCTACCAAAACAGTGATACTCACTGCCATCGAGCATTAGAAATACAGTTGTATCCAGTATAGAATAAACACTTCATTCTGACTGTACCTTGCTTGTGTTGTGCTATAGGCTGCCAGTCTTCTTGAGGACATGGAAAATAAATCCAAGGGCTCACAGTTAGAAGTAAGTAGAGTATGTCTGTGACTTTGTGGTTTCTTGATTCAAAGGACTTGTATTACACCCCTTTAACTGTCTGTCTGTCCATCTTGGTCGATCGATTGGTCGGTCTCTTTTTGGCCAAACTTGTTCAATTTGTGTATGTTTGCCAGACTTATATTATAAAGCCTAACCAAAAATATCAATTTTATCGAACCCTGAAACAACCTCTGGGCTGATCTTAGTCAGGGCATGGCTAACTCACAGATAGAACCGTGAAACAACCTCTGGGCTGATCTAAGTCAGGGCACTGCTGAATCACAGATAGAACCCTGAAACAACCTCTGGGCTGATCTAAGTCAGGGCATGGCTATCTCACAGATCCAACCGTGAAACAACCTCTGGGCTGATCTAAGTCAGGGTATGGCTAACTCACAGATCCAACCCTGAAACAACCTCTGGGCTGATCTAAGTCAGGGCATGGTTAACTCACAGTTCGAACCCTGAAACGACCTCTGGGCTAGTGATCAAAGGCAGGGCACGGCTAACTCACAGGCCGAGTTAAAATTTAGCCTGCCTGCCTGCCTGTCTGTCCGTCTATCGGTAACTCTGTCTCTTTGCCTGTCTATCACATCGCTTTGAATATCATTGACAATCAAAATTTCCCAATTGTTTTACAGGCTTTTCTTTCACTCGCAAGATACGCAGACTCCCAGTACCAAAACACCGTGGATTACATGAAGTCCAACGAGTTCGAGAACAGACAAGAGAGCCTCAGGAAGTCAAAGGTTTGTCTTGTATAACTGCTATTTATCATATGACCCGTATCTGCCCGCGCGCTCGCTCTTAAAAAAGACCTTCGGGAAAATGGCGTGAGCAGGGCCGTACAAATGCGTACGGCCTTGCTCGAAACCTGCGACCGTCTTTTCTTTCTTTTCTTTTATTATTTTTCTTTTCGTGAGGGTCATGTGATAAAATGCTTATTGACTGAGTTAGGTCGGGCCGTACGGGAAAATATTGAATAAATAAATCAATGGGTTCTTGAAACAAATTAGAAAAAAAATCCCTCCCTCTTATGATAAAAAAATTCCAGGCAAACCGTGTTCCTCATCACAGCTGTGCAATATTCATTTAAAACAATCTTTTCCAGGCCGAGTGTGAATATCTTCAGAAGTTCAACACATCAGAAGGCGACAGATATTTCCGTCGACTCGAGGTGGAGAGTAAAATCGACGAAGACGAGTTGAGGTTGATGAATGAGAACAAGATGACGTTCTTGTGCAAGGCTTTGGAGAATTATGTCAAGACTTTGCAGGCTGGGGTAAGGTTGAAGACACGAATAACAGTGAAGTTAGACCTCGCTGTAGAATGGTAAAAAGGAATTTCAAACATTCTCGACTGTGACTAAGGCCCCGTCCACACTWTGCCGGATAAATTTGAATCCGCAACTTTCACACCGGAACCGAAAAAAAATTTTTTCGTCCACACATGAAAGCGGAGAAAATGTTTCGCGTGCACACTAGTCCGATCAGAGGCGGCAAAAACGCTTCATTGCACATCTGAGCATGCGCATCGAAGCTGAAATTGAGCCCGCGGTGAATTTTTAGCCTTCCCGCCATGTTCCCATGACAATCATTACGTCATCGTATTCGAAAAATTCCGGATACGAAATGTTCTCCGTCAACACTAATACGGCTAGCCGACATTTTCAAATTGTTCCACTCTGGATACCTTTTTCGAAAAGTTCCGGTGAAGAATTGTTCCGAATTCACTCGGACTAGTGTGGACGGAAGGCCTAACCGGATAAATAARGTTGCGGATTCAAATTTATCCGGCACAGTGTGGACGGGACCTAAGCATCCCATACTTTGAATATTTCCATTTCCATTTCGAGTTCGTCTTTGCTCAGTCCTAGCCTTGATTGGTCCATTGTATAGTAAAGGAATGTACGTACTACGGAACAATACGAGTTGATTAAAATGCCACGGGTTTTGGTTGAATAGCTGAATATCATAACTCACAAACGAAAGTAAGACTGAGCAAAGAGAACTCGAAACTGGAGTAYTAACAATGGTTTTAGTAGAGAGAGTAATACTGGCATTTGATAGTGGAGAATGATCAAACATGGGCTTGACACAAAAAACATCGAGGCTTGTGGATAGCTGAGGTTTGCCTTTTTTTCTTGTCATGTTTTTTCCCAGAAGACTTTACCCAGCCTATWATATATACAKCCCCCTTGCTRCAGSCCAATCCCGACTCCTTACTCCATGTAAATTAATTTATTTTACTTCCATAACGCGGTGGTTACCCATTTTTCTSAAGCCAGGAGGCTCACGTATGAAGCGCTCGAAGGTGCGYCCTTAACCCCTTCAGACTATCAGTRCTCSTTATTACGGGTATWTAAAGSTATAGCWAGACAGAAMAGAGATAATCCTGTTGTTTATTTCYTCTTTAACAGTCTATRACTTTCGTTTYATCAGGATAAATATGATCTACGTGTGTTCAGACTGTGTTCATTGTGGTTCGATAATGCTAACGAGGATTTTGTCAATACTATCATCAAGGTAACTATTGAACATCTTATGTGTAAAAGAAAAAATGCTGATCACTCTGTGATTGGTTGAACTGCTGATCACCATGTGATTGTTTGAATTGATCACTGGTCGCTATGTGATTGGTTAAATAACCAATACTTGAAATTCAATTTGATTGGATATCTCCCGGACTGATATGTTGCTGTTTAATTCTTTTATGTATGTGCTCCACATTGTTTTTTTCTTTCTACCAGGAAAGTCTGGCCAGGATTCAGACCAGGAAGTTCCTTCCCTTGATGTACCAACTTGCTGCTCGCTTGGGAACAAAATCCTACAAGAACGATGACTTCCAGAAAACATTAAACGAGGTAAGCAAARACATTCATAACCTTTTTCACCCACTAGACTTATGGCTATCATAGTTCACTGCTGTGTTTCGGTATTGACACTGCGACGATTATGACGGAATATTACATTGATTAGTTCACTTTGGTACCCACCCACCCACCAACTACATCCATCCTGCCATTCATCCCTTAACTATCCAACCAAACTTATTTATGCATCCAACTATCCATCCCGTTCATTCATTCATCCATCCCATTCATCCATCCATCCTATCAATCCCATTCATCCATCCATCCTATCCTTCCAGTTCAACCATCCTTCCTATCCTTCCAATTCAACCATCCATCCTATCCATCCCATTTATCCATCCTTCCTATCCATCCCATTCATCCATTCATTATATCCATCCCATTCATCCATCCATCCTATCAATCCCATTCAACCATCCATCATATCCATTCCATTCATCCATCCATCTTATCCATTTGTCTATCCATTTATCTCAATCTCCATTCATTTATTTATAAACACCCATTCGTTCATTCTATTCATTCGTCCATTCCAGTCATCCATTCATCTATCTATCCTCCTCAACAATCTCATTTATCTATCCATCCATCTATCCATCCCATCCATTTATTATTCTCATTTTATTCATCTGTTCATGGAATTCATTTATTGTAGTTGATTGAGCGTGTATCAGTGGATCATCCACACCACACCATGTTCATTCTGATGGCCCTGGCTAACGCTGATCGTGACCGTGAGTACGTTACAGCAGGCAAGAAGACTGGTAAAGATTTAAGGTTATCAAGAAACGCAGCTAAGAAAACCAAGGGGTTTGTTGATGAGGTACGTCACACCATCCGATGATGACGTATATCCAGTCTTATGGCGTTAACACTACTATATTATCAGGGGCCGCGGAGAGGGTGGAGCAAGGGAGACCTTTTCCAGTCCTTCTCCTATACTAGTCTCTTATATTTTCCGATCTTATCCCCCACTTTTTCCCATACTAGTCTCTTATATTTTCCAATTTTATCCCCCACTTTTTCCCATACTAGTCTCTTATATTTTCCACTCTTATCCCCCACTTTTTCCCATACTAGTCTCTTATATTTTCCAATCTTATCCCCCACTTTTTCCCATACTAGTCTCTTATATTTTCCAATTTTATCCCCCACTTTTTCCCATACTAGTCTCTTATATTTTTCACTCTTATCCCCCACTTTTTCCCATACTAGTCTCTTATATTTTCCAATCTTAGCCCTCCCCCACCCCACCTTTTAGGGTATTCCGCAACCCCTGATTATAAAGTCAATAAGCATAAGGGAGGATTCATAATTTACGTGGCTTGATCTGTGATGATTTTGAGTAGTCCCATGCTTTTAGCCTGTTAAGTTTTAAGGGGGCTATCGAAAATTCCTTTCAATATGCTCCACTGAAAATCGTCACCATCGTATGTGAGCAGGATCTGTAAACAATCCAAATAAAAGTTCCCTTGATGTCATGTCCCATCATTTCCCATGATATTATTTAGTATTTCAATTAACAGGTCATTTGTTTTGATATTAGCCATTCCGAGGTTGAGGGAAAATGTGTCAAGTTGGCATTGCAGTGCATTGTGAAGTTGCTTTATGGGACGTATTTTTTTCAAGATGACGTCTATTCCGTCCCTAAATCAGTCCCAAAATTTACTGCAATGCTAACTCGACCTAGTTTCTGCCTTAACCTCGGAATGGCTGATTACTAGCTTCGTAATGTTCCTACGTGACGTCATTTTGACGTCATATTGATGCCGCCTCCCATGATGATATCACAATTAATTTAACTTGTCACGCTCACCGTTTATCTTTTACCAAAACCTCATTTGTGTCACTGCTCTTATTTTCATGACGTCATGTGTTGTGTTATCATTTGCGTCATAAGTCCTACAGATGTCATTAGTTTTTTCAGTGGTAATGACGTCAAGTCTTCTCTTCCACAGGCTCGCCTAGAAGCTGCCACCAGTCTGATACAAAACATATCGCTACATCGTGGGGAATTGGTCGAAATGACTAAACATG